TCTTTCCCTTTGTCTTTTAACAGTTTGATTATAATTTGTTATCGTGTGATTCTCTTTGAGTTTTCCTACATGCGGTTCATTCGGTTTTTAGATTTGTAGGTTCATGTCTTTACTCACATTTAAGAAAATTTTGACCATATTCTGATATTCTTTCTGCCTTCTTTCTCCTTCTCTTTGGGACTCCCATTATTCATATGTTCATCCACTGATGGTATCTACAGGTCTCCTAGGCTCTGTTCATTTATATTCAGTCTTTTTTTCTTTCTCTTCCTTAGACTAGGTAATTTTGACTGATCTACCTATAAGTTTGCTGATACTCCCTTTTGCCTAATCAAATCTGGTGCTGAACCTCTCTAGGAAATTTTTCATTTTGATAAATTTACCTTTCAGCCCCAGAATTTCTGTTTAGTTTCTTTTTATAATCTCTATCATTTTATTGATATTCTCTATTTGTTTAAACACTGTTTCCCTTACTTTCATTAATTCTGTGTCCATCATTCCCTTTAGCTCAATTAGTGGATTTAAAGTGTTGATTAAGTCCAAAGTTTGGGCTCCATTATGGACAATTTATGCTATTTATTTGTTCATTTTTCTGTATGGGTTATATTGATACCTTATTGTTACTTTGCCTGCTTTGTAACCTTTTGTTTAACAAATGGGATATTTTGAGTATGTTGAAACCTTGGAAATCATAATCCACTCCTCCCCCCACACTCACCCCCCCTGGATTTTGTTGTTGTTTCTTGTGACTGCTGTTGTGTCTTTATTTCTCTCAACTAATTTTGTGTGATGTGTTTTCATTGCTGTGTGTGGCCACTGAAGTCTTTGTTGACTTATTGGTCAATTAGTGATTTGACAGATTTCCTTAAACACCTGGAACCAAAACCAAAACAAAACCACTTTATACTCTTTGTAGATGAGCTTTTTGTGTTGGAGAATTCCTTAAACACTCAGGCAAGGAGTTTACAACTCTGCCTTAGCGTTCACTTCTTGCAGAAAATCTGATGTTCAGCTGGACATGAGGGCTTAGGAGCTTCTCAGGTCTTTTCTTATATTCCCAGTCCTAGGCATGCCCCAATCTATCTAGATTCCCTGGAATATGTGGGAGATTTTCAAAGTCATTAATTCCCAATACAACTCACTCCCCACTTTTTTCTCAGGGTTTTTGATTTGTCCATTGTTTGCCCAAGTTGTTATCCCTTGCCCTAGGTGGCAGTGGCTAGTATATTTACCTTTAAATGTTTTTGACCAAGCCCTCAGGTTAGCAGTTCCACCTACGTATAGTTTTGCAAGTACTTTGAGCCAGTCCTTTAGGTATCCATCAGGCAGATCAAAACAAGAAAAACAAAACCAAAAAACCAAAACCCAACCAGCTGAAATTCTTTATAAGGTCTGTTCTGTCACCTCTGGTTCTGGAAACCTGTACCAGCCTGTGGGCTCTGATCTTCAAGGCCACTGCC